AGCTTCTACCCTCCCCTCCCCCCAGAGATAGAGCCCACAGCTCTGCCCGCCCTCCCCCAAGGGGCAGCAAGGGAAGCCAAAGGGCCACCCTGAAACTTGGCCCTAGCCCTAGCCCCCAGGCTCCAGCCACAAGCACCGCAGACAAGATGGGCAAAGGATCGTTCCCAGTGCAATTGGAACCCAAGGCCATGCGTGGCTCCTGTGGTTTGCCCCAGACACAGTGGAGCCCGGGCTGGAAGGCTGTTTTCCCCACAGCTCTCCTTCCCACAGGCCCTCGCCTCCTGTCCCTCCCCTTGATGCCTAAGCCTTTACTTCTGCCTGTCTAACCCTCTGCATCCCACATTGTTTCAGGATGACCCACAGCCCCCTCCCCCCCACCCCACCCCCACCCCCACCCGTGACTTTGGCCAAAGTGTTCTGGAGAGTGGCTGTAGTAACTCAGCAGCAGTTTGCCAGCTACTGGAACAAACTTGAATCTTGGGCTGGGAAAGCATTGTAATCAAGACTGTACATGCAAGGGCCAGACCACCAAGTTCTAACCCAAGCTCTGCTGGCCACTTGCACACTAGGACAAGACACCCTCCCTGTGCCCTGCTGATGCCACTGCTGCCCTGCTTACCCTGAGGGTAAGGAGAAGCTATGCCTGGCATGCTAGCCGGGCAGCACATATGTTGGCCGTCTTTGTTACCTCGACTCTGCTCCCCTGAAGTCTCAAGTCCTCTGTTACCTCTGGGAGCCCTCTGAGCAGGGCTGGCAACAGGGTGTTCAGCCTGCAGACTGCACAGGACGATGTGCTTAGAAGGACCTGTGCTTGACTAGACGCTAGGCTGTGCCTGGCACAATCTCGGAAATCCGTGATGGAGGACTGTCCTTTTCTCTTTGCTCTGGGTTCTGCACGTTCTGTGCTAGCCTGCCTTAAACCCCGAGAGTCGGCGAAATCCGTCTCTCTGCTGGTCTGCCTTTGTCTCCTATCCCTGGTCCTAGCTAGATCTAGCTTCTGTAAATGGTAGGCTAGTGTCTCTAAGTCCTGGTATAGACATTGAAGACCCCGCTATGATCCACCAAACCCCAGGACACTGAGAGCAGTGTGCAGCCGAAGAACAGGCTGGTGGGAGAAACAGGGTAAGGTGGGCAGGCAGAGACGGTAACCATGGTGGACATCAGGCCAGGATTCTGGGCTGTTTAACTCTGGATGGGCCTGGAGCAAGGATGAGAGAGAGCACAGGGACACTGGACACCTTATGCCACTCACTCACTCACTCACACACAGCCCTCAAAGGATACTTCAGTGAGTCCAGCGATAACGTGGATCAACCTTCAGATGGAGCCGATTTAAACAAGGAAGTGATGGGTGAACCAAACACAATTGAGGATGAGTGTTTTCTCTTGCTACGTGGCACTCAGGGCCAGCAAGCTCCTGTGTCTCCACAGGAAGGGAACATCTGCTGGCCCGGTGGCCGTCTGGTGTCCCACACAGTGAAATGTCACACTTCCAAGAGGAGCACCTTCCCCGACTGGCAGAAACTTCAGTTTTGAACAGTTAGTTTCTTTCCGACCCGGGCGGGGGGGGGGCGGGGGGGGGGGGTAGGAGGCAGGGAAAAAAAGCCACGGAGGATGGGAGAATCTACGGCATCCTGTCAGGGGAACGGGCATGTTCCAATGCCCACCAGCCCTCAGGGAGGAATAAATAGTACTGTGTTGCCAGCTGAGTTCCCATCATCCTGTAAATGGAGGCCGGAGGAGCGGTTGGCTCTCCGTCTCTGGGCCTCGTGTACCAATGCTAGGCAAAGCAGCCCCCGAGCTGCAGGGAAAAGCCTCCGACACCGAGCCCCGGAATTTCATCTTAGTCTTGGACAGGGGACATGGGAGCTGCTGCAAGGAACAGGCCCTGTGGAGGTGGGGGCGGGGGGTAGAGGTACCCCGCTGTAATGAACAGTCATCACTTTTCCTAAAGACAAGAAACCCGAGTCCCTGTGGACTTTCCAAGTCACTCGCCCAGGAATTTTACTTTCGGAATTTTTTAAGCAGACCTACAAATTATGTGGTAAAGGGTCCCACATGGAGAGAGAACTATAATAAGCCAGTGGGCCTTGGACTATCTGGTTGGGAGCTATTATGAAATTGAAAGGAAAAAAAAAAATGAACAGAGAAACATTTGTCTCTCTTTGGCCTGATGTTAAAACCATTTTTTTAAGAACAAAATTCGAAGTTACTCTGTACACACTCACCTCCCAAGATGCAGCTGCGGGGCGTTCTGAGAACTTTGTTTCTTAAAAGGGAGTTTCAGAGTAAACATCTGATTTCAGAACCAAAAGAAGAACCAACTGAAAGAACGGCAGAAAAAGCGTAAACTGACCGTTTCCATCCCAAGATGGTGGGTTTTTTTCCTTGTCTTTAACAGCAGGTGCTTCCAGGAGCTCAAGTGGGACTTGTTCTCGTCCCCTAAGCCAGCCCCTCACCTGAGACTAAGGGTCAGCTCCAACAATGGAAAGGCAAATTAATAGACATTTGCCCTTTGTGGTGAATGCGTGGGTGTGTGCACAATGCCCCCCAAACTAGACCACACGTACGCATGTCTGACACCAGATTCGGCCTTCACGCTCACCCACTTTTAGGAGTCGAAGCAACTCACCCTGACCCAGCCAAACCCAAACCCACAGGTCTCGTGGGGAGCAGCCAGCTGGCCCCTGCCAGAAGGATCAATGAAACCTAGCACCGGCAAACACAGACAGAGAGCAGCATGCTGGTGCGGCCAGCTCACCCCGCTACCACTTACAAATATTTGTGAATGGCCAGAGCAGGGAAGCCCGGGCCACCATGGTTGGGGAACAGGGCCCAAGCCCATCTGTCCATGATTCCAGTGGCCCTCTGGGCTCCTTGCCAGGCAGAGAACATGGGCCCGCTGTGGTTGTTTCCACAGAAGTCTCTGGGAATCCAGCCCTGTGCTCTTAGGAAACTAGACCTCAGAATAAATGAGGGACAGACTGAAGGTGGCCTTCTGGGTCCCATGACAAATGCACAGGTCTGGCATGTTTAGAAGCCTCGATGGGCTTATCTAGAAGAAAGGAGGCTGAGGGTTCAGCTCAGTGGTCGAGCACTTGCCCAGCATGTCTGAGGATTTACGTTCCATTCCCAGCGTGTCTCTCTCTCTCTCTCTCTCTCTCTCTCTCTCTCTCTCTCTCTCTCTCTCTCTCTCCCCCTCCCTCCCTCTCAAAAGGTTCATAGTCCACATGCACACAACAGTCAGACCCAGCAGTCACTTGCCCTGAGAAGATAACAGACTGAAGAAAGGCTTCTCTGCCTCTCCCCAGGTGCTACCTGTGTTCTTGGTCAGCTTCCCAGGGCAAAGCCGAGCCACCAACTAAGCTCCATATCAAGCCCTCCTTTTGATCCCAGTAGGTCTGAGTTAGGGTTTCTGTTGCTGTGATGAAACACCATGACCAAAAAGCAAGTTGGGGAGGAAGGGGTGTATCTGGCTTCCACTTCCCTATCACTGTTCAGCATCAAAGGAAGTCGGGACAGGAACTCAAACAGGACAGGAACCTGGAGGCAGGAACTGATGCGGAGGCCATAGAGGGGCGCTGCTTACTGGCTTGTTCCTCATGGCTTGCTCAGTCTGCTTTCTTATAGAACCCAGGACCACCAGCCCAAGGATGGCACCGCCCACAATCGAAGGGCCCTCCTCCATCAATCACTAATTAAGAAAATGCCCTACAACTGCAGCTTATGGAGGCTTTTTCTCAGTTGAGGTTCCCTCCTTTCAGTTGACTCTAGCTTCTGTCAAGTTGACAGAAGCTAGCCAGCACACAGTAGCTTAACTGCCCAATCAAGAGGGGCCACTTGAGGATGGGCTTCCCTTCCATGTTCCATCAGGGCTGTGGGTGCCAAGTCCAATGCAGCATCTCGGGTTGCCCCACATCCAGGTAAACAACAGCAAGACCTGGGTGACTTCTTTCTAGAACCCTTGATGGCCAGCCATGTAGAAATGGTGTCCTCCTTTAGGTGGACAGGTGGGTGACCTTTTTTCTTTTCCCACTTGGAGGGGTAGCTGCTGGGCAGAGAGAGAGAGAGAAATCCCAGGAATGGTGAACAGGAAGCAAGACACTTTTCAAGACAAGCTGGGAAAGAGCTTGTCCTTTGGGGACATTTCTTAGGCACCCCAAAAATTCTAAGTAATGGTGGCAGGAGTTTTAAGGATCAAGCATTATCTGTCAGGAGATTTCCAAGGTTACCCTCTGGGCTTTCGACAGGAAGGAAGGAAGGAAGGAAGGGAGGGAGGGAGGAAGGAAGGAAGGAAGGAAATGGTCTTGCAATTAGGGAGCCTCCCTCTGCCTAAAGCCACGTTTTAAATATCACTCCACATTCATATTCCGGGGCTGCCAAAACACAGGGTCACCAGTGGCTATCTAAGACACAGGCCTTTTCCCTCACTGTTCAGAGGTATCAACAGAGTTGCATTCTCCTGCCCCCTCTCTTCTCGGTTTGCAGATACCAACTGATGCCTCTGCATGTGTGGCACCCCTAATATCTTTGTGTATGTACAAATTGCTTGTCATTACAAGGGCCCAAGTCAGCTTGGATTGAGGACTCACCCTGGGGGCCCTTAACCTCGTCTTAACGTGTCCATATCTCTACAGTCTCAGTTGGCCTGGATAGTCACCTTCTGAAGAATGGGGTTAGGGCTTCAACGCATGAGTATTATCAGATCATGCTGCTTTCAGGGGACAGAGCCAGGAGGGCTCACCACATCTTCTGTTGGTCCTTCCAGATGTCTGTTCCATAACACATACTTTGGCACATCATGTAACGTGAGTGAAGTGCTGCCTTTTAGAGAAGGCTTGACTTTCATCCTCTCCGGTGGCTCCTCGGAGGGCCTGGCTAAGTGGTGAAAGGATGGCTAAGGGGCTAGGTACTGACCTCCTGCTCCGGTGTTCCGATGAAGAGGTCCTAGCAGTTCACTCTGTCACCTCTCTTCTCTGCCTCTCCGCTCTCCTTTGTAGACGGCAGCAGAGACCTCCAGGAGGGAGTAAGCCCCAACAGCATGGTGACCACCAGCCAAGCAGTGCCAAACACAACAGGGACCACCAGAAATCCTACCAGGGGGGCTCAGGGCCCCACCCCTCAGGGAGGCCCACACACCATGGCTACAGCCAGAACAGGCGCTGGCACCACGGCAACATGAAGCACCCACCAGGGGACAAGGGAGAAGCAGGCAGCCACCGCAACGCCAAAGAGACCGCGACCGTCGAGAACCCCAAACTTGAAGATACCCCCGGGGACACCGGACACAGTGGCCTTGAGCCTACCTGCATCCCTGACGCCCTGGCCCCAACAGCTTCCGAGAGGCCAGCCCCACAGCCGCCTGGGGGGCCAGAGGCTGAGACCAAGCATAAAGACAGTGTTCTTCCCGAGCGTCTCGGGGAGCGGCCCAAAATCACCCTGCTCCAGTCTTCCAAAGACAGGCTGAGGCGAAGACTGAAAGAAAAGGTACCGGTAATTGACTTTTCCTTGTTCTCTTGTAACCGGGAGGACAGCTGAGAGGTAGGCTCTTCGATGGGTGGACTTTGGGTGGAGCCTTGTGGCTTGGAACCTCTTTAAAAGGATGCAAGTCTTCTGTGGCTGTGTGGACCCACCACACCAGCTCATCGTCGCCATGGGTATCGCTGGGGCACCACAGGCCAAGCAGCTGTACTTGAATCCTTCCAACACATTCTGGTTCCTCATCTCCTGTCGTTCTCCGCCATACACACATGAGGCCTTGGAAACACAGGGAAATTAGATGTGATTATATCAGATGCTGTGGGGCAGGCAAGAGATGGGTCCTATTGGGCCCAGTCAGGGAGTCAGACAAACTTTTCCTGAAGAGGTAGGTGGTCCAGAGGGGACTAGAGAAGAAAGAGGTCCCTTAGGAGCCTACCCTCATGTGCCACACTACATGGTAAGGCTCAAGGAAAGCTCCAGGGCTCTTCGAGTGTCACTGTGTCACCCCGAAGGGAATGGTGGCTTAGAGAAGGAACCATGTTCCCAGTGTGCATGGCCACGGAGAGCTGGGTGTAGAGCGTCACATCACCTCCAGCCCAGAGCTCCCAAGTTGAGAACAGAGGGCCAACATCGTATCTCACTGTTCCCGCCACTCCTTGGCTGTGTCCCTCACCCCAGCAGAGACAGCCATTGTGTTCTCGGGCCACTGGTCTATTCTGTTTGGGCGCGTGCAGTGTGAGAAAACCTCATGCTGCTTTCTGCCTTTCCAGTCAGTGGTCTAGCCCCAGCTACTGGGCACGCCCCTAAGAGCATAAGCGAGGTGATGGTTTTGTTTTGTTTTAGTTTTCCTCCTCGAAGCCCCAGCCATTTGAATAGCACATTAGAAGAGTCCTTAATGCACAGTATTTGTGTGCAGAGGGACAGCCAGCACTGTCACATGGGATGCTAAGCCAGGGCCAAGTCCACATGGAGCCGTTCACCCAAGAACAGGACTGTCCATGGCGTTTAGAACAGGACACCTGCTGGCTACACCCAGGCCACTCCCAGAACCGCTACAGATGTTTTAGATCCTACTCACCCCGGCCTGGTCTTCCCTGCATCATTTTCTCTTTGACCCAGTTTTCTATTTATCATCTTATTTCATCTTGGATAATTCCCATTAAATCATTTCTAGATTAAGGGATCTGATTGATAAGGGGGAGGGGGGCGGGGAGGGGTATGTATAGGAGAATCCTGAATCGACGCTAGAACTCACAAGCAATGCCAGCCCAGGACATCACTAGCAGCTAAGGGTGAAGTCAACAAAGAGCAGTGAGGCATGAGGGTCTCTGGTGGGAGTTGCCTCCCCTCACCCCCTTCTCTCTGAGTTCTCTCTTCTTCCTTCAGGCCATCCCAATCCCACTTCAGTTTCACTCAAGTGTGTTTTCCTTGTCCCCCATACCCCCAGGATGAAGTGACGGTCGAGACGAGCAATCCTCAGCCAAACAAGATGGACAAGTTGATGGAGATCCTGAACAGCATGAGGAACAACGGCAGTGACGTGGACGCCAAGCTCACCTCCTTCATGGAGGAGGCCCAGAACTCCACCAACTCCGAGGAGATGCTGGGGGAGATCGTGCGGACCATCTACCAGAAGGCGGTGTCGGACCGCAGCTTTGCCTTCACAGCCGCCAAGCTCTGCGACAAGATGGCACTCTTCATGGTCGAGGGGACCAAGTTCCGGAGCTTGCTCCTCAACATGCTCCAGGTAACCGGACACCGACAGCTGCCGCTCCACTCCCCTGCCCCTCCGACCCGGGTTATTGCTAGAGAGAGAGCTACAAGTCCTGACGGCAGTTGAACTTGTCCCAAGTTCCTTGCCCGATTAATTATAGAAAATAAGAAGGCATCGAGGGGTGAGAGATGCACGGCCGGATTTGTGTGTGTTTGTGTGAGTGCTCCATGGTTACGAAGGACCAATATAATTTTATAGGTGCGTTTTGTTCAGCCGGCCTTTCTATTTTCATGATAAGAGGCTGGTTACAGAGAGCCCCGTGCTTTGACCTCTACATGTCTGAAGAGTCATGAACTTGCTGTGGACCTGTCTCTTCCCCCCTCTTCCTCTCTCCCCCTTCTCCTCTTCCTCCTCCTTCTCCTTCTTTTTAGGGACAGCCCCAAAGAGCTTGATGGCTATACACTGGTATAACAGGGATAGTAAAACCTTGTGCGTTGGGATGGGGACTATCTGTCTGCTAATACATTGAAATCCTAAGTAGAAAGAAAGCATGGCAATCCAAGATTTTCTTGATGCCTACTGCTTTCCCGTTCAATGTCCCTTTCCCTCCAGAGGGTTTCTCCCCAACCCTCTTGATACTGTCTGCCAGAGACCAGTGTCTAGCCACAGTCTCACAGGCAAGGGTGTAGTAAGTGTGGGCATGCGCACTCAGACTAAGTCCGTGGCGTTAAGTACCTGCCATGTATGGTAACATTGACTGGTGACCCCAGCTGTGGCAACATCAACGAGAAATGGCAGTGGAGGATGGCGTGGTAGCCATACCACCCAGAATACCATTGTTGGAGAATCTGGATAGGGGAAAAAATGTCTTTCCTATGGTTTTATACAACAGAGACCGGTTAAGATACAAACGGTGTCATCAGGCCTACCTGGTAAAGCAGTCCCCCGGGGAGTGAGGAAAGTAGGGTGACAGAGCTAGAGAGACCGACCACCTGCAGGAAAGAGGAAAGTGGGGTGACCGTATGCCAGGCCATCCAAGCAGTGCCGCTTCTGAGAGTCAAAGGGGCTCCCCTCATAATTACACGTGGACAACAGACGTACGGACATAGGGCACGTGGCCCCCTGGTTTGTGGTTTGCCGTGTTGTCCCTAAAAGCAGAAGGGAGATCATGACTGGTCCACCTGCCGGTGGTGCACTGGGCCATGCCTGTCTTGGTGTGTGTGTGTGTGTGTGTGTGTGTGTGTGTGTGTGTGTGTGTGTGTGTCGCCGTCTGCAACCTGAGCCTCCCTGGCCAGCCTCAAGCTTCTCTCCAGCTTCAAGCTGTGATCAGGTTGCCATTCCTGGATCGCCCATGCTCCCCTGGTGATGAATTCCCGCATTACCTGAGGGATTTGCACATGGGCATGTTCCTCGCAGGCCGGAATGTCCTGGGAGAGTGGAGAGGGTGACAAACAGGCAGAAGTCTGTCTGCCGTGGATCACCAGGCATGGGGGAGTCAGGGACAGGGTTGGCCTCAGACTGATTTGGGGATTTTATTTTTTTTTTAATTTTTCCAGAGAAGGGTCAGAATGGAGTACAAGTTCTAGACCATGGCTGCTAGCTGTAAGAAATCCATGCAATCCCCCCCCCCCCGCCCCCCCCTCCCCCGCAGCAGACAGGCACACAGGCTTTGTGGCACCCAGGAAAGATAATTGGCTACAGGGGCTAGCCCAAGATGGGTTATTTTTTTCTAGAACCCATGGCAAGAGCAATTTAAGTTAGTGAAATCCTATTGTGCACCCTAGGTAACAAGCCCCCATGGAGTGAGAGGGCTGGGGCACAGCTGGGCGGGAACCGAATGCTGGACCAGAGGCTAGACCTGGCCCAGGCATCAGCAGTCAAGGCCTCTGCAAGTACCCCAGGGAAACGCTGCTGGAGCTGTCAGGGCCTCGGAAATGGGCACAAGTGACCCCACATAAACCTTTTCTTACCGCTGCAAGACCTGGCCCCGGATGAAGCAGTCTTGGGCTCCCCTGTTCTCGCAAACTGCCCTCCATCACATTGTCACTCGATGTTATGAATGATTCAAACTTTTTGACCAACCCCAGAAGCCAGCTTGTCCCAGGGGCACTGACATCCCGCCCTCTGCTCCCCAATACCACCCTGCAGCCAGACTGAGCCCCCAGCTTCGCCCTAGTAGACAGACTCCCCATTCTTGTCTAGAATTCTCTTTTAAATTCACTTCTTCTCTTCAACCTAATCCTCAGCCCTTTGCCAGAACCACCTCAGACACCACTGCCTTGGAAAATCTGCCAGAGTCTCCCACTCTGTGTTCCTGCAACATTCTACCCTTCCCTGCCCCAATACCTGTCTCTCTGTTCTGTCACGTGACTAGCACCGGCTGGGTGTCCAAGGACACCAAGCAGCAACCTTGGAGCTAAGGGTTTCAATGTATACAGGAAAGACCGGAACTGCATCTCCTGACCACAGGAACCCATAGTGGCAAACAAATGCATGTTATCATGGCCCTGCTTCCCCAGGCTCTGATGGGCGGGCACCACCTCTGCTGGGCACAGCCCTGTGTCTGGCTAGCTGCTCGATGCTGGTGCTGGCAGGTCATGGTCGTGGAGGAATGGCTCTTACGAGAGGAAAGCAGCAGAGACTCCCCTCTCTCTTCTCCCAGTCAAGAACAGAACCCCAGGAGGCAAACAAGACTCACATCGTAAGCTCCAAGGGTGCACCCTCCTGGTGACCCACAGTAATGGGAGAAGGCCACGTGCCTAGCTGGAACATTTGTGATTCTTCTGTAGGCCACCCCCCTCCACCAGCTTCCTGTGAGCCAATGTGGGAGCCCTCTGAAAGGTGGAACCAGAGGCTTGGCCTAGACACTTGGGCTTCTGGTGATTGGCCAAAGCCCTTTGGGCTGTGAGGAAAATCTTAGCTGGGCCAGGTGAGGTGCCTGAGGACCCATGGCTCCCTGATTACAGAGAGGAAGCCTGCTTATCTGCTTGGGTCTCTGTTCCTCCCTGCAACCCAGGAGGCGGCAGTTAGAGCAAGCCTTTCAGAGAAGCAGAATTCATGGCCACTTGCCACCCAACCCGGGCAATCTAAAAGGAGAAGCAGTAGACCTGGGGACCCTTCCCACTTGTCCTCCTCACACCTCTGAGGGAGTCTGTCTTCACTGCCCGCAGAGCCTTTCCCTCCCTGAAGCTCCTGACCTCTGTCCACTCAGTCCCACTTGACTCTGGATCCCCAGCCAGCCCCACGTTCAGCTGGAAGGCTCTGAGCCCGGCCCTGCAGCGGCCTGGCGTGGCTGCCATACAGGCTGTGAGGCCCAGCTTAGCGACAGGGACTGCAGAGGGGCCAGGTGTGAAGTGCCCCATACACACCCCTCCCAGCAGCTGTTTCTGGATGTGGCCCTCCCTGGCCGAGTACTCTTCCGGTCTGGGCTTTGGTGTGAGGAGTCGTCATCGGCAACATGGCAGGGAGAGGAGCAGTCTTTAATGTGGTAAATACTCTGCCGCAGAGGTCCAAGATTTCTGCTAGGTGGGGCTTCAGTGCCCACAAAGTGGAAAACGGGTGTGGAAGATAGTCATAGGTCCTTCCCAGATAGACTCACTCCTTCACCCTGTCAAGAAATCTGAAACTCATGGGTTCCATAGGCCTCTTGTGGACCCCCATCGCCAATCCTACAGATCAAAATTAGTCAGTTCTTGGATCTAAACCAGCTCTAGTTTTTGCCTTAGATATGGGCCCTTTCTTAGTGGCGTGCTCATAAGTAAAATTCTATTCATTAAGTGGACATTTCTTAAACATCTATTATGTGCCAAGCCCAGAGTCTTCACTAGAGTCCCCACCTCTGTTCCTCCTGAGCTTCTGGTGAGGCTGCCAGGTCGGTCCAGGGGCCGTGCTTTTTGGAAACAAAGCATTGGGTAGTTTGTAAGAGTGGGGTCACGTTCATGGCTGGGCAAACAGACACAGACCCTTACCAATATGGCTGTCCAGTGTGGGGATGCAGCCTGAGCATACTGCATTTCAGACCCCAGGTGTGCTATAGAGCAGACCCTCAGCCATTGTCTACTGGGATCACATGGAGAGCTGTAGCTTCGTCCTGGGGTCCTCCCCAGACCAACTGAATGTTGGTGCCTGAAGTTCTCCAGGCACAGAGCGGGGGATATCATGTCATAAAGAACTCATCTGGCCATGTGAAGTGAACATCATTGCCAGGATGAAGGTCCAGAGACACCAGGACTGTCCCACCGTCTCTTACCAACCAGCATCTCACACAGTGTACCGGCTAAAACTTACTTCTCAGGCACTAGGCTCTTTGCTGAGCAATGTGCAGGACTCAGACTGGGCTGGTGGGAAAGCTTAGCTGTTGATAGAATACCTTCACCTCCAACCTCATTTTCCCGTCTGTGAAGGAGCCGGGCTCCACCATCCCAGGGTCTCTCGCATTGTTCCTCACCATCCTGAGACTCCCCGACCCTGGAAAGAGGAGAGACCCTCTCCTCCTTTCCCACTGGGTCCCTCTGTTCCCTGCTTGAAAGTTCCTGCTTCCTTTTTCTTGGCCTCTGCCGATTGTTGGCATGGCCATTATGTGTTTTAGGAAAAGGGCCTCACTCTCACCCCCAGTGCTGACTAGGCCACCCAATAAAGCTGGCAGCAGCCTTCTCTGTGCCTCTGCCCTGCCCATGAGGCTCCCAGATCCTTCCTGTGCCGAGCCAGCTTCTACACATTGATTGTTTCCACTTCTTGGAGACTGCGGGCTCCCCTGGGCCAAAACAGCCAGAAAACTCCTTGGTGCTCATCAGGGGATCGTGGTGCAGTCCTGGGGAGGATGAGGGCTCCGGTTTCATGGGGAAGGAAGAATGAGTGTGCCTCTTTTTATGGGACCTCAGGAATGAGAGGAATCAAAGGCCTGAGCCCCCTCCACCCAGTACTGCCTGGTCACCGCCCTCTGCCCTCCCCTTGAGCTCAGAGAGGGCTCTTTTGCCTAGATCTCCTTGGGTAGTGCAAGTTCAAGCCCTCCTCTGTTGAAATGTGTGTGCCCT